CCCAGATTACACCAGCTTTTACCCAACATGGTGTTCGAAGTGATTTTACGGCAGTGCCTGTAAGGCGCGTTCAAATATTCCAATCTTAATGGATCCCTAGTTTGTGTCTGTTGGGTCTCTTCATTAACGGGGACGAAACCACAAGGAAATCTTCACCGGCGGTAGAATTAGGCAACCCAGTCCGAAAGACAAAGCATCCTCTCCGCAAGACTTCGTGTTACTATTTATGATTTACGACCTCGAAAAAATGATGTAGTCATTTACATATGGATCCCGAGTTCGAGTCTGTTGGGTCTCGCGGAAAGGATGCTTGGAACCTGGGTTAATGTTCGAAAGTAAAAAATGCTCGCACTTGCTCAGGAATCGAAGATTAGGTGATTCCGTATGTAATGATTAAGTCCTTGAAAACTTCACTTCTTCAGATGTGAGGTTTCGACCGGTTCAGTCGTGAGCCCTAGGAGTTGAGTGACCGTGATCAGATCGGCAGCATGAATCTGAAAATCAATCAAATCATGAAGCGAATGATGAATTTAGTGTTATGATATAATTGAAATGAAAATACCAAAAACCAGGCTCAAAAGTGGCTCGTGAATTAGCGAGCACATTGTTTCTAGCCAGGGAAGGGTTTCAACTTCCCATGGAACTTTGAGTAGAGACTTAAATATATAGATAGGGCTTTGAAAACTGTTGACAAATAAGGAAATTAAAACTGCAAAATGAGCCTACCACAAAAGTGGTGAGCGTCCATTTGCATGCTTAAAGCACGGAGAGATATGTTAGTTGATATGCACAGTTACCCGCATTGGCCACAAAGGTTAGTAGTGGCAGTGCTCTCCCCCTCCAGGTGAGTGATGAGGATTTGCCACCCCTTCTAGCTTGCGCTTTTTGCGAAACGTGCTTTCATCCGAATGAAAACTCATAAACCGTTTTTTCTTACTGATTTAAGTTAGCGCTTTGCGCTCATTTGCGATCACCCATCTATCACCCAGCACTTGCTTAAAATTTCTCCACGTCATTTTGTAACGTTTCATTTCATTACATTTTCAACAACGAAACACACAGACCCACACCCAGAGTGAAATAGTCTGGACACGCGAGAAAACTAAACATCGATGAAACAACTCAGAAAATGGGTAGAGAAAACTTGTATTTTTTGGTCTCGAATCGATTGTAAGCTTTATTGGCGGTTTTCTTTTAGAGAGACAGCATGTACATATGAGGTTTGCGTATTGTGAACAACATATTTGCTTTACTCATTTCTTGGATTGTTTCATCAATACTCAGTTTTTCACGCTTAAGTGATTCGGGTTTTCCCCTCCGCCTCAAGAAATTTTAAATGAGTGCGATGATAGGTGATAGATAGGTGATCGCAATGATAACCGAAACAAAACGCTAACTTAAATTAGTAGGAATAAAAGGATAAGGAGCTTTTATTCGGATGAAAGCGTGTTTTGCAAAAGCGGAAACTAAAAGGGGATGCAAATCCTCATAGCTCACCTGGAGATGGAATAGTGGTAACAATCGGGTATCCTTTGTCCTCAAAATTGGATGCACCTTGCAATTACGCTTACAAAACAACTATTTTCAGGAGCGTTGAATTCAAAACTTGATGCTTACTTCTTACGCTAAGACAATTCTGCAGAACAAGAAGTTCCCAACAAGTACTTTAGAGAATATATTCTAGATAAAAAGATGATGGCAAGTTGCGGTCAGCTGCTCATAACTGCAGTTAATTCCCTTGAGGTCGGTGCCTGTACTCGAGGTGGGAGCTACAGCTTTTTCTCGTAGGTAAGGGACATGAGTTGTTCCGTTGATTCGTTCAGGGGACTAGCTCCTCTTACCACAAGTGTGTAGTAACAGAGGAGTGGGATTTGATTCCACAAAGTGTAATTCACAGTCTAGAATGTTGCATGGCAAAGTCACCCACTAACTTTTGGGGCGTATGTTTGTTTATGCGCTGCTATTTCTTACCACTAACTCTATTAGTTAAAGTCGATCAAAAGAAAGGAGAAAACTAAAAATGAGGAAGTTCATACCCTACCTGGCACACTATCCCATGCAACTACCCATCTCGGCTCGAGTGGGACACCTGACTCCTTCGACTGTCGAGAGGTGCCTGTATCACCAATACGAAGAATGTATCATATCCCGACTCCTTTCGAGCCAGATCTCTTTCTTGTGATTTTGCCACTGATCTTCTGAAAAAAAGCCACTATTATTGTGTGATCCTATCCAATCTAACAATACGCAACGGCAATTCTGTCATTCATGGAGAACTTCTGTCAACGTTAGGCATCAAAGGTATGTGGCTCAAATCCAGCTCGATGAGACCTTTCCAAGGTGGGATTAATGTAGGAGGATATGAAAACTAACTTAAACCAATTAAGTAATCATTTTAAAAAGTAATTTAGGAAATGTAAAGGAAACTGAGCACTGCAGCGCGACTGTACGGTTTCCATTCCGCACAGGTCCCGCCATCGCGCCTTTAATTGCCAACCGCTGAATTGGAGCGCGCCAGGCGTTATTCATAGATAAGTGGTTGCCCATCATTTCTATTTATAATTCTCCTAACAAGCTTCAGGAATGCGAATATGTCCAAGTTGTAACAACTATACCTTCATAGGAGTGATTCGAAAGGAAATACTAGTGCAGAGGAGAAATGAAAGACCGTAAGATCGGCCAGTCCAATGAAGAAAAAAAACCCAAAAAAATCTCGAAAATCACCGAGTTGGACTCTGCTCTTTTGATGTACGAGTAAAATTTGGTGTTGAGACACGCAGAAACACACGTTTGACATCCCATCAATCCAACAACGTCTCCTATTTGTCGTGCTAGCTTGATTTTATTCAGTGCAGTACCAGTCGTACACAATTCTTTCATAGGCCTTCAAGAGGTAAGCTGTCATTCAGTTTCGCTGAGTACTAAGGCTCACTATGACATTAGCTTCAATGTCGCAAACGATCTCTATCACCTCGTTTACCGAGCTTTTCAGGGTGGCCTGAATCGATCTCAATTTCCCATGGTAGCGCTCATACAGGCGGCAAATCTTCCATATTGGTCTCGCGGTTTCATATTGCTACTACCGTAATCACTCATTGACACCATGCCATTCAGAATTATTCAGATATGACATATACGTTGTGCGCTACCACTTCCTAATCCATTTTTGCGGCACGCAACGGAACGAAGCACCAAATGGGTACAGGCTTACATATCCTACACTAACAGGTAAAATCGTACCACCTTTCCCCTACTCAGGAAATCGTACCTTCTTCTCCTCATGGGTGAAGAGGTAATAGTTCTCGCAGGGGCCAATATCCCGCGAATATTTCATTGGTGACTAGAATCTTGGATCTACTGAGGAACATCTATGAACAGGTGTAGAGGAGAAAAAATTCGTTAATCTAGGGAGGTTACCGGCTTGGTGCCACATGCCTCTTACTGGTACGTACATTTTGTTATTGACAGACAGGGCAAAGGAGGTAAGTAGACTCGCCATCAAACAGAATGAGGAGGACCAGACGGCTTCTCTGCATGGTCCGGGCGATTGTTAAGCACAGATGGCATAGTCTGTACCATTCCCCTTCACTGACAACGGTGGTTATTCGAACTAATAACAAAATATGGGTACATCCGCACTTTCAGAGGCGCACGCGGGCGAAACTCGTCTCGATTCGGACGAATCTGGCGCCTATCAATGGGGCACAAACTTAAAGTAGAAAAAGTTAATAGAATAAGCTTGTCTTACTGATTTAATCTACTTCAAAACTTCCTTATAATTCTTTGAAGGAAAGGAATGTTGTGTCCTTCAGGCGAGAATGGTCCACTGGACCACTTTGGCTCGCGAGAGGGACGGTTGAGACGGTACTGGCGCCCGCTCTAGAAAATCGATGATGGACGGGACTTCAGATGAAGCAAACGTCCGCTCGCCTGATGCGTTCGGTAGAAACTGTGTTAACCAAAATCGTTAATACTTTGTCGCGAAAATACCACAACAAAAAACGAAGAAATGTCGTACAAGGAGTGGCAACTACAACTTAGAAGAATAAAACAGCGATTATCATATCAACAGATCTCTTCATGCAAAAAAAGGGCCACTTGATAGTCATTGAATTTACGGGTAGAACTTTTTCCCACTTTTGGCATGCAAACGTTCTCCGAAAAAATGACTTACCATAAGTAACAGCCCTTTTGTGCTGAACATCCACGAAATCGGGAATACTGGGAGCTCCATTCTACGCAAAAGCTCCATTTGGCTGCTGGTGGGGACGAGGATGTCGACCAGTGAAAACGCAGTTATCCAAAATCTGTTCCTCTCTGAATCTGTAAGTATTGATACTTTTGACAACATATTAGTTGTTACTCGTTCTTACTGAGATACGTTTACGAGAAGACGTTAACACTCTAAACGATACCAAAAAGTTTTTTGTCGATTTATTATTCACTAAGAAAAATATCAGCGATAAGCAAACAATAAAAATCAACAATCATGTACACAGTAAGGCACTAACATTTCAACATTTGAGAGAGACATGCCCTATGATGATATCAGAAGCCTGACTTACACCACAACAGCCTGACTGATGTAAAATAAAGGGCTCACTTTAGGTGTGACATTTCATGAAATAGCAATACAGTATTCCACTTTACTTTACAGTTCATGAATAAACAAACTACTTTTCAGTTACAAACATTTCCTTACTATTCCATTGCTACAGTAATTTCAAGTTTTGCGCAGGAGATACGATATATCAACAAGATGCAAAATAAAAATTGCAATAAATCTTTTGCGTCAGATCACAATAGAGCTTTCCTCGTGATATCTGTAACCTGGCCTGTGGACTAGTTTACGATTTGCTAGGAAGAGAGGCAGAACCATTGGATGCCTATGCTCTCTTTGAGCCAAGTCTGTTTTAGACCGTCAATCTATCCCCAAAGGGCGGGTAAAACCCCTGCACACCAGACTGCGCTACGGTTACAGACCGGATTGAATGTCCTTTTTAGAGAATACCTGCTAAGGCAGCACTACATCTAGAGCAATGCCTTTCAGTAGGCTGTCGCTTCATTTTGCGACATCTGTCACAAAATTTTCCATCGCTTTCAATTAAGCTGATCTGGTCTTCCCCATCAGCGTCCAGGATTTTGACCATTGACACTCCAAACAGTTCGCAGAGTTGCGAATCGAATGAGGTATCTGCTTCTTGCCACTGCATCAGGAGAGACTTTGTTGGCGACGTCAGGTCCAGCAGCGCTCCCTGAAGTAGAAGTAACTGTAGGAGAGGAAACAAACTCGAGAAAGCGTGTGCATAATTAAGGCTAGATCGTGGAGTACAACACTGGGGAAATTGCTCGCGGTAAGTAATGGTAATGTTTCATTGATCCCTGAGGCAATTATTTTACGCCTCGAAGTTCTAGTCAATAAGCCAGGAGAGATTGGAAGGTAAACAAGCCTCTATCATGCCAGCAATTACCAAACATAAGCTAAAGGCCAGCTAAAACCATACCCCAAAACACTGGCGCTCATTCCTACTCATTTACCAAAAGAGAATTACAACAGTCTCAAGTTCATGAGTGTTACCCAGACCCCATTAGGACATCCCAGAGCCTCTTCTCCATCAAAAAATGGAACCACATAGGCGAAGCGTGCGCCCAATTTTCTAACATGGCGTAAAGGTAAAGATAGGATGAGCTAGTGGCGTTAAAATTCTACGTATTTAGACCCACTAGTCAAAAGACAGAATACTTGGCATTCCCTTGATCAGAAATCACATCCATCACGCCGTTAATGGTTGCAGAGCTTAGATGTTTCGCTCCCATGGACCCTTTAGCTATCAATCAGGGCTATTACCGTTCGGTTCTAACTTAGAAAAGGAGAATCGAACTGCTGCTACCAGATGATAAGATTAGCAAGTAACTCATATAAGACACGAAAAATGGAAAAAAATTAATAAATAATTAGATACCTTTTTGAAAAGATCGCACGATGGACCAGCCAAAGCAGCGAGTTCTCCTCTAAGTTGCATTATCTTCTCCATTGCTCGATCAAGTTCAGGATGCATTGGTATATCATTTTCTCCGTCAAAATTCAGCACTTCCCGCAAAATCTAAAATAAATTGTTTAGGAAATATCAACATTGCATGAACAAATCAATTTTACAAAAATTTCAGCCGGAAACCGAAATAACCAAAAAAATTACCAGCTTTTCTCGACAATTCGGCTGATGTTGAAAGAATTCCGCCGCAAGGTGTGGGAGCAGGGGTGCCATACATTTTGCCATAGTGGTACCAACTCTAAAGAAGAAAAAATCGGCGATTGAAAATTGGTGCCGCCTATTGTAACGCGAGTTTTACTATTTCCAAATACTATTACAAACATTGAAGAGAAAGATGCCACGGAGGTACTTCAAATCTAAATATATGGACCCATTTGGGGGGGGGGGGGGG